CGATTTTACTACCATTCGATCCGTCTTGATGAGCTGATTCCAATGAGCTATAGATCGTCTTGATTGGATCAGTAGATAGTGAGATATTCTTAAATTACTATAATTATTCAAATTTAAGAGCGTAAACTTTTGTAATATTACGTTTTTAGTGTAATATTTTGAAATTTTACACTACCTTCGAAATATTACACTAAATTACGCCTAAACAAATTTCCTGATAATATCATATGAGAAGTTTTAAAACAATGAAAACAAGTATCGTGACTGATTTATTGATCACTGATCGTGACTGATTTATAAATCACAAGATTGTATTATGTTATTATATTATACATATAAACCCTTTAATGCACAATTTTCTTTTATTTTTTTAGATTTTTTTTATAAAGAAAAGTACCTGAAATTAAATAACTTTATAGTAAATAAAATAGGTTGTTTAATTTCAGAACAGTACAGTAATTTACATATTAAAAATAAAGAAACTTTTGTTCTTTGAATAAATGGGTATTAGAAATCAGAATATATATTAAACCATCAGATTATTTTTTTTTTAATTATACCATTTAATAAATAAAAAAAAAATATTAATTTTTTTTCATTTACTTTAGCTGGTACATCAAGTAATTCCAATATTTGAGTTATTACATATTTAGTTATATTATTTTGTTTTTATATCAAAATTTTATCCAATTTAAAAAAAAAAAATTACTAATATTAAAAAGAAAAAGAATATTAAACAAGAGTATATGTAAAATATAAAGTGATTTAAAGAAAAAAAAAATAAATAAAAAAAAAATATTAGTTAAAAAAATGGTTATGAATGTAATTAAAAAGAATTTTCACCTACTAAACTATATAGTAATAATTTTTAATTTCAAATTTTTAATAATATAAAATTTATAGTTTTGTTATTTTTAACTAATACTTTTAACTTTAATTTTAAATAATTTTTAATTAATACTTTTAATTCTAATTTTAAATATTTTTTAGTTAGTATTATAAAATTAATGTATTACAATTATTACTTTGCTTTGATTTAATATAATTGCCTTTATACTAATTATATAAAAATCTTAAAATATATATAAAAATTAAAGTTTAATATTTATGTAAACTTAAACCTAAATTTTTTATATATATTTTAAGACATTTTTTATTTTATTTTTTATATATATTCTAAAAATTTAAAATTTTTTGGTTGTAAAAAATTTATTTTTTATACTTTTATTATATAATAGGTATTGTTAAATCTTATTACAGGTAATTTTCACTACACCAGTATTAGCAAATATTAATAGAGATTAACAGATAGAATTTCAGGATATTGCTAATTTTGCCCAAAATTCTACCTTAATTCTGGTAAAGTAATAATCACCAGTGGTAATATTTAGCTATATTCTATTATAAATAGTTATATATAAAGCTTTTTTTAAAAGTCAATATTATATCTTTTAAAGTTTCAATTTAATACAATTTTTCATAAATAACATATTATTACACTACATTAATACTAAAATATTTTATTAATTAATAGTGAAGTGGAATTACCATTCTGCTTATATGACTAAAATAGTACTAAAATATGATATATTAAATATATTTATCTTTCTTTTGATAAATTTTACTATTAAATATTTCATCTATATTTCTTGTAAATTGAAAAATAAAATTATTTGATAATATTCATATAATATTGAGCATGTTGTTTTTTTCAAAAAAAAATTGTATTACTGTTTATATCTGAAAAGTCATACGAGTTATATTTACTGTCAAAATTTGTTTATTTTGTTCATTTTGTTTGTTCATTTTTATTTGAAATTACCATCTTACTTTCTAATTTATCTTGTTCTAACATCGATTGTTGTGGATCACTATCTTCAAAAAAATTTGTCTCGACTTGTGAAATAGAAAGTTCAATTAAAATTGGGTTTTCCTGATACTCACTTTCTAAAATTCGTCGATAATCTTTCAAAAAAAAATATATAGATCTATCAAGTCTTCCTGCATTAAAAACGATCTCCTCATTTTTATATAACTCAGGATCTATAATCACATTTAAATCTTTGTTAAAAGAGAAAGGAGGAACAGCTCCTGAATCACAATTTGTTAACCTTTTCATAACTTTTGTTTTTGCAAAAGAAATTTTATCTGCTTTCAAAAATGTTCTTATTAATTCAAGATTAACTTTATTAGATCCTGGCAAAACCGTGAGATAATACTTATGACCTTGTTGAAAGGATACATCTATTACCATAGCTTTTGCTGCTTGTTCTTTCCTGTTTCCTCTTATTTCGGCAATTTGATCTGACCTTCCTTCGAGAACATGCTCAACTTCTCTATAAGTCACTCGATGTTTATTTAAAAGATTTTTTAAAGCTTCATATGTAGTATAAGTTGTATTATTCATATCGTTAATATCGTTACTGTTGAAAGTTTTTTTAATTTTGATTTCTAAAAAAGCCAATCTGGCTCAATCGGCCTGATCCATTCATTAGCCGCAAAATACCGCATTCTATAACAAAATAGGGATCGGCATGATCCAAATATCGATAAGATCGATCTAAAGTCTTGAGGCCAGTGTAGAAATTTCTAAAGCACGAATTAATTTTCGAGAAGGGTTTCTTAACAACAGTGCTCTTTAATAACAGAATTTTCAAAAGAGGAAGTTATTTAGAGGTATTCGAATTTATTTATAATTTATCGATTAAAATTGATTCAACTACAATTCAAAACCTTTTAACTTCATAAGGATAAGGTTTGAACTATGAAGAAAAAGAAAAATACATATAGGAAAAAAAAAAAAAAAAAATTTAAAACTAACTATTAATAAAATGCTTACCAAGTCTATATGTTTGTTTAATAGAATATACAAAAAAATATACTAAATATAGTACATAGGAAAAAAAATTTTTTTTCTTGAAGAATGTTCCATGTTTAAAGTTGAAAATAACATTTTCATTAATAGTAGATAATCGACTAAAAGTAATTTACTATAAGAATTTTTTGAAATAAAAGTCTTTAATTGATATTATCCACAAACAGTCCTTTCTTAAATCAAAATTGTATATATTATACAGAATATCTTCTAATCCCTTCATCCTCGTAACCATAAACAACACTATTCCTATTACTGGCACCAATGCTAATATTCTTTCTATTATTCCTCTTTTTTCTCCTTAAAGTTCCAAATAATCCGCCTTTACTCGGCTTGTTATCTTTGCGAATATCTTCAATATAATAATTGTCTGTCTCAATTTGTTGTATGGCAGTTGGATTAGTTGGATTATAAATGCCTAATGGAAAATCATAAGCCGATTTAATATTTGAGGAAACGTGTATTGGTGTTTTATGATACCTATATAATACACTTGGAGGTCTAGAAATAATATTACTATAATTACTATTAATATTAGTAAAAATAGTAGTAAATTCTTCTAATGAAGATGATGACATTATTTATACATTAAGGAATTTTTTTTTGTATATAATATCTTTTATTTTTTGAAAGTATTGAGAGACTTTTTTTTTATAGAAGAATAAAAAAATTTTTTTTTGTTTCAAAAATAGTTTTGAAGAGAAAGTCGTGCTATATATATAAATATTTTTCCGCGCCAAATCAGCTCACTATACCAAATTTATTATCGGACTTTTTAATTGTATTACCTCGCACGCGCTCTATAATTAGCACTCCGCAGTAATGGTATAGAATATTCTTTCTTCGGCTATAATCGTCGGAATAATAAATACAAAAAGGGGTCTTAAATTTATTATTTTTTTCTAGTGCTACTTACTATTACTATTAACAAAAATTTCAGTGATACTATTTAAAAAATATAAAAATATAAAAGTATTTGATTCCCGTCAATTTTCCTTCTCCTTAAAAAAAAATTAAAAATTAACTTCTTTCAAATGAAGTGAATTAATGCATTTTTATTTTTCTTATCGCTCGTTTCTATGATAAATTATTATAATGAAAGGCGAATTTAATATTTAAGATGAAATTCCATTATTATTCCACTACTATTTTAATAATTTTAACATTAATTTCATCGATTATAATAAATTCCGCAAATAGTAATGAAACTAATAAACATCATAAAAATCATAAAAATCACAAAAATAAATCTAAAATTACAAATCACATGACACCAACACCTATCATTACTATTCAAACTGCGGTATTGCCAACAACTACTATCTCATCAACCTCACCTAGTCCGACGATTAACACGGCTGATATAAAAGCTGAATACTATGCATCACCTTCATACAATATTTCATATGGAGTACCAGGTAAATTATTGATGTTAAATTCGCGTATTCGCAAATAATAACAAGCATTATTTACAATATTTTACATATGTTAGCACCAATATTACAAACTCGAAATACATGGCAAAAAATAGTATATGGGATATTATTCATGATTATTGGTTTGATCGAAGTTTTCTATGGATATAAACTCATTCGAGTAACGTTACTTGTCATGGGTTTTCTATTTTGGTGTATGTATAAAAATCTTTTATTTTAGAATTAAATTATACAAATTTATTAATTTTTTTTAATTTTTTTGGGGTGATAAAAAATTAGCCAGTACATCTGTAATTATTCTATTGATAATAGATAATTCTAATGAAACATTTCGATCCGCTCTATTTTACTTTGCAATATGGTTAGGGTTTGGTACATTAGGAGGTTTATTATCATACTGGTGTTGGCATTTAGGTTTAATATTATCATCAGCATATGGTGGTTTCGCGTTCATAATTACTATATTAACATTATCTCATATAACTCTCGATATTTTACGTTATATTTTGATTACTTTTTTTGTTCTATTACCTCCACTTGTGGTATATAGATATGAAAAACATGCTATAAACATTGCTACTTCAATCGCTGGTTCTTATACTTTTTTTTATGGTATAGATGAATTCGCTAACCAAGGTTATAAAGAAATGATTCAGCTTGCTCGTTCTGATGGAGCTTTAAGATTTAAACCTACCATTGTTATATATATTATGATAACATTTACTTTATTATTAGCAGCTTTTGGCATTGGTTTTGAACATATTTTTCATGAAATTCCTTGTAATAATTCTTGGTGTGGTGATAAACATAGAAGAGAAGAAAAACATTCTGAAGATGAAAATAATAATGTTCTCGTTCATCAAAGAATGAAAAATTTTTTTATTTTATTATTTTCACAGAAGTTAAGTATTATTAAAATTAATTTTTTAAAATTATTTTTAGTATTTAAAAGATTATTTAATTTTATTCGAAACAATTTACTTAATTTTGTTAATTCATTATTATTTAAAATTATTAATTTATTTAAAAATATAAAGTTGAGGTTATTTAATTTTTTTTTAAATAAGAGAAAAGAGGAGGCGGTAGTGGTTAATCAAGTTTGAATGTATGGTTAATTATATAAGTTTTTAAAACTTACATTATTTAAATTTGTTAATGCAATATATAATATTTTTGTACATGCCAGTAACACTTTAAAACATTTTTTTTTTTATTAATTTTTGTATAATTTTTATAATAAAACCATTGGTAAATTCAAAGGCTCGGAATCTGAAATTCTGGACGGCATACCAATTTAGTAAATACCGGATTTTCAGATGTTATCCAATCAAAAAGCACATTATACCATCTATAACAAGTGAATACCGGAAAAATCTCTCTTTATATTATGATACATCAAAAGTTGAAAAAAAAAATATAAAACCGAAAAAGATACAGAATTCTCTTATTTATCTTAAATTGTCCTATAAGAAAACTTCAAAACTTCGCAAATAAATAAAATATAAATAGCCCTTAAATTCTTATACAAAAATAGTTATGCTACCCTATCATAATTAATAAAGATGATACCTTGCAAAATTTATTATTATGAAGGTGTAAGACTAAAAAAAATGATCATCTATATTTTTAAAGTTCAATCAATGGTGCCTCTTCTATTTGAGTTGGAGGAAGAATCTGTTGCGAAGATGGTGGGGTTTGATATTGATAATAATTTTGTTGTGAAGGAGGTGCTAATTGTGCTTGATATCTAATTTAAATTAAAGTTATTAGAATACTACTATTAATTTTAATTTAAATGTCATATAGTAAACTTACCCATAACTTGCTTGCGAAGTTGCATATACTGAGTTACTACCATTTGATTGTGGTACTGAATTGGTGCTATTTGTTTGTGGATTATATGAACTAGCGCTACCAACTATTCCATTCGTTTGTGGGGTATACGATGCACTAGAACTATTAATTATACCATTTGTTTGTGGTTTATAACCTTGTTGATTTGTAGTAACGTTCGAACCAAATTCACTAGGAGTTCCAGCAGTATTAACTGTATTTTCATTGAGATTAGGTGTGTAAGATATAGGCGTTGAAGTATATGCGTAGGGCGCGTATGATGATTGTGATTGTTGAGGCTGAGCCTGTTGTTGAGATGTAAGTGCTTGTTGGTTAACAATCGGCACACTTTCTACAGGATTTGATTGAGGTGGTATGTATTGTTGCGAGAGAGGTGCTGTTTGCGAATAATAAGTTGGTGAAGGCGCCGGTGCTGAAGCAACTGGGTAAGAAGGCGATTGTGTATATATATTGGAAGTATGAGCATTGGTTGTAATAGTAGGATAAGTAATTCCATTATTTGGAGTAATTGATGATGTAGCACGTTGAGTCACAGGATATGAACGTCTAGCATATGCACTGGACATTCTCTCTTCCAAAAGCCGATCGTATATTTTTACAACTTGCGCTAATTTTTCATGCATTTCTACAAGGTCCTCTACAAAATTTTGAATAAATATTATTTAATGACGTAATAAAATTATAAAATTATAAGTAACTCTTTTACAAATGTACTTACGATGCTTTTGTATTGTTTCGGCCAGATTTTTAGTTAATTTCGGTTTTAATTCACCAATTCTATCATGTAATTCCTAATGCCAAAAATAAATTTTCTTATATTTTTTATATGTTCTAAACTAAAAATTATTAATTTTGCTCAAAAATTAATTATATCTACCTGAACTTGGCGATCTCTCATCAAATCTCCACCACTTTGTTGAATCCTTTCAAGTAATTCTGAAAATTGATAAATGTTTTCAGCTTCAATTGTTGACAATTCATAAGGAGCGGGGGATGAAGTTGTGTTAGATAATTTAGAACTATAAGGTGTGTAAGCTGATGAATTATAAGAGTTTGCATTATAAGACGGTTGTTGTGTATATGAAAATGAACGAGATTGATTGATGTTCATTTCACGAAGAGAAGCTTCTATGGCTGCTGCTAGATCATCTTCCTCCTTTATTAACAAATTAAAATTTTGTTAAAATAGAATATTATGTTAAAATGCAAAATGATACATATATACATGCCTGCTTATTTACAGGTTCTTTTGATTTAACCTCTTTTTTCTGAGCCGGTTGGAAATGGTTCTTACTTTCGGCCTCTTTCAGCGAAAGCTCAATTGCTTTTTTAATTTCTTCATCCTCTTGGTCATTGTCATTTTGTGCGGTTGTTGATATGTTACTATTATTATTACTATTATTATTATAACTATCGTTTAAAGATGAAGTTGAATACAATGTTGGAAGCGCTGTAAAAGCTGACAAACTTTTGGAATTTGTAAGATCAACACTATCATCAAAAAAAAGCAAGTAATATATTCAATAATTTAATCTTGTGAATATATCAAATAAAAAAAAATATGCGTACCTTTTAGCTTTCACTTGCCTCTTTGCATGACAAGGATCACATACGCGTACTTGATCATTTATACCATAATGTGGTAATGTTGATGTTTTGGATGAACATTCACCACAAAATGTTTGACCACAATTTCGACAATGATGCTATATTATAAATGGGTGAATGTTATTGTAAAACTGAATTATATAGCATTTACAATTTTTTAAATAATACCTTTCGGTTAAACATTGTGAATGGAGTTCTGCATCGTACACATTCATCACTATCGGTCCATGCTGGTGCCTAAAAACATTAAATAAAAATTTAATTGCCATATATAATGCATTGTGAAAAATTAAAGCTTATAATAAAATGTCTTACAGTTGCAGTATCAATCATAACTGATGTTGTTCTATCAATCTTTGGGAAACCACAACCTATAAGAAAAAAAGATAATAAATAAATATTTATAATTTATGATTATATTATCCTTTCTAAAATTACCTTCTGATTTCAACAACCGATACGTTTCTGTGACAAGCACTAACTCAGGTTTACCTTCGAAAGCTAATGCCCATGTTTGAATTAAACCGAGAAGCTTAATTCTAACCTCTGGATTAGTCTTTAATAACGCGAATTATGGTTAATTGACGCATAAAACTAATGGAATGTAAAATATTATTTTGTCAGACTTACTGAAGGCGACCTAACAATTAACATCAAACTATCAACAAATTCACGCGATGCCACTTCAATTAGAAAGTGATGTCCTCCATTCTTTACGCAAGTATCTAATAGCTAAGGAAATCAACCAATGTTAAATATAATCTTGATATTTATATATTAAAATCGCGTAATAATGTAAAATAATTATTACACTCAAAGCCAAAAGTTGAACATTTGGGTTAGTATGCGCAATTCTTCTTTTGAGTGCTCTCATTGCATCCTTTGCTGAAACGCTTTTACTACGAATTTGATCACTGATCTCAAGATATAAGGTGATATCATCGTGATCTTTAGGAATCAATTCAGAAGTAGCCTTATCTACAGACATACAAAAATGGGCTTAGAAAGAACAAATCTATTAAAAAATTCATTAAGAACTAAAATAACAATAATTCTGTAAAAGAAGACTTACCAATATCCTCGTCAAAACTTGTACTAAAGAGTCTTGAAACCATGTTTATTAAAATTTGAAACTTAAAATTTAAATTTGCGTTCTAATTTTTATTCAGATTTCTAAATATCCTTATATATATATCAGTCCGATAAATCTACAATGGAAAATACAATAGGGTAACCTATTAGGTAATTTATAGCCAAGGGATTTTAATGGGCAGCTGACTGTTTTAAATTAGTAAAATCTTCATAAATATGCAAATTGTCATGTGAACCTAGTCATTTGCCAATCCAACCTTGCTGCGGTAAAAGTTATTTTTCTCTTCGTCTCTTCGTGTAACTAATCAACGGTTATTGTGTTACGTAAAGAAAAGTAAGATGATATAAGGTAGTACAAGTCAAGAAAAACTCCGTCCGAAGAAACGGGGTCAACGATGATCAACGGCCAATGACGTTGAAGCTTAGTAAGTTTGAAAAAATTTTTTCCTTAAGTTATCATAACCGTAGGTTTATCTTGCGGCAAAGTTACGCCATACCAAATTTATTCATGATTTAAACCAAACTAGGTAGGTTTAAGACTTGACGTAAATAATTATTAATTGAATTAAATTGAATTATGAATTTCAACAGGGAATTTCAACATTTAAATATTACGCTATACGAACTCCCGAAATTCATGTTAATTGTCAATATTGACGATTAATTGATCTAAAATTGTACCGTCAATCTTTTGTTATTGTAATACCTTTGTAGGAAGAGGTAAAAAGGGATAAATTATGTCTTTCACTTCAAAATGTATGCATCCCACTCGCCCAGATTATTCTTCTTTTCAATATGATACACAGCGACATCATACGAGAGTATAATAAGGTAGTACATGGAAATATTCGGCGGTCGAGTTGAAATAAATTCCCATCTAAATTAAGAAATTGAAAAAATTTGTTGGGAATACAAATAAACAAAATAAAACAAAAAAATAGGGACAGACTTTTTATATAAAAACCTACTTTATATTGTTCAACTTTGCCGAAATTTAAGCATCTATTTTATTATTACTGTTTTTGTTTTTCTGCATGAGTATTATTCTTTATTTTAATTATTATTAAAATCAATAGATTATTTGTTCTATAAGTACAAGTCTTTCTTAGAAATATCCAGAAATCGATTTTTTTTTTCTTTTGCTGCTCTATCCTCAAATTTATTTCAAGCCTGATATTACTTAAATAAATAAATATTATTTATTTATTTATTAATAAATTTTCTTATTTTTCTTTTAACCATACTATTTGGGATATTTGGGAAAAGCTGTGAAAGAAATATAATAATAAACAAAAAAAAACACGAATTACAATGGTTGTAAATGACAGTAGTGAGGTTACAGCTGGAAACGGAGAGCAACATAAAGCCTCTGTACTGTTAACACCAACCTTGTCTTCTCAACCATTTAATAATGAAAGTAAAAAAGACTGTGTAGACAAAATAAGTGATAGCGAAGAGCTCACTACAACACTACCGCTTCAAAATAAATTTTGCAAAATTCATGATACTTTGGAATTAAAAAATATACGAAAATCCGGAATTCCTCTTAGTCTCGATCTTGACTTACCTCCAACGCCTACTTTATCCACTTTCTTAACTTCTTCCTATTGTGATGATAACTCTCCAACCTCCTCGCCATGTTTTTCATCTTATTTCGACATTTATCAACCTCTCAATTCTTGTTCTTCCAATTCCTCTTCAGAAAGTAACTCCTCAAATTCGAATTCAACTATTGATTCCCCCGATACACCACCTTTATCTCCGCCGGGATCACCTTCAGTTGTAGAATCGCCTCGTTCACCTCTTTCACCGAAATCTATTGATTCTGTTTTTAGTTCCTCATCACTTCCTTTGGTTTCATCACTTACTAATACAGAACAACGTCGTCGACAAGTTTCTTTCAATCAAACTGTAACATTTATACCTCACATTCCACCACCACCAAATAAAATTCGAAAAAAGCTCACCAAAGAAGCAGGTGCGAGACAAAAAGATCTGGTTCTTGAGGTTGAAGCTTTGGGTAAAGTTAGATTGGATGGTAAGAATGGCCGTGTGATTAAAATTGTACCTAATGTTTTTCCTGGACCATTGAACGGTGAATATGGACAATGTGATGTCATGTTGAAAGATGTTACAATGGAAATTTCTTCAAAAAATCAAAATGATAATACTGAAGAGGAAGATGATGATGTATTATACATTACAGCTGTACCTATCGTTGAAAAGGATAAAAAATTACGCCTTAGCAAACATTTAAAGCGATACTATAATAAATTAGTTCAATGACATTATCAAAATTAAATATCATTTTATAGTTAATTATTAGAAATATTTATTTTAATTAATCAGCATTGACATTTGGCATTTCTTTCCTTTTGCTTTTATTGACCAAAAAAAAAAAAAAAATAATAATTGTCAAGAGACATTACTTCTCAAAGTGGGGATGAACTGAAGCAACACGCGTAATTTATTTCTTTATTTATTTAAACATTTCGAGGCGGAATGTACGCGAATATTTGCAAAAACACTAGTCTTGTATATATATCCATTTGGAACTTTTTTTATTCACCTTTTTTTCTTTTTTAATCCTATGTATATTTTCGTCGAATTTATTCATACTGTATTGTTTGTTGTACAATAAGTTACATCCTTTTCAAAAATTATAAAAAATAAATTTAATTTTTGAGCATATAATTCCAATTCTATCAAATTCAATCGACTAATCAATCAATCCTAAAATTTTCTTCAACGGGAATTAAATGACGCGTCCTTTTACTCTTCTTTTTCTTTATCCTTTCGGCATAATATTCATGAGCTAAAGAATGAATTTCTGGTGGGAAAGGGGAAGGGATTTCACTTCTTCCAGGTCTAGAAATTGGATTTCTCAAAAATACTATAGAACAAGTATTAAAATTAACTTCTAAGTATTCTGGTATAAATAAGAAAGGTTGCATGTATGGTATTGGCTTAAATGTAAGGCCTTTCGGTGTCATGGGCTCAGTGAGATAAGGTACAGCACGAGGATCAATACTGATAATATCACCATCTTTAGCCAATTTGGACGGAACAGAAACCTATTTTTTAAAAAAATTCATTAATTAATTGAAAACAATTTAATTAGAAAATAAATAGTTAATTACCTTTTTGCCATTAACACTAACTTTTCCGTGAATAATTATTTGTCTGGCTGCCCAAATACTACTGGCGAAACAACTTCTAAATACAATAAAATCCAACCTTCTTTCTAAACTAGCATAAGTTAAAACAGAAACAGGAGGATGTTGTTCTTCTTTCTGTTCTTTAATATTGCTTGTAGGCAATTTTGGTTCAAACAGTCTACGAAATTGTTGTTCATTTAATTGAGCTCCATGATAAGCTCTTGTATCTTTTTTTGCTTGCCATTTTTGTTGAAATAAAGTACGATTTTGTGACCTAGGTAGTCGATCACCGCGTTGATGAATAATAAATAAATTTTTTTTTGACCATGACATTCGAATTAGACCTCGTGAAAAACTATCCTTTGGTTTACGCATGAAAAAAAATCCGTCAAAACAAAGAAGACAATAAAAAAAAAAGATCGGTTATCGAATGAATTTCTTTCAGTCATGTGATATGATAAAATTTGCGTAAATCCCGTCAAACACCCATCAAATTCCTGAAAGCTCATCTGTTTTTTGTAAATTGATAATCAGGGTGATAAGGTTTATCATTTTAATCCCAATAAGACGATTGATGATTAACTAAGTTAATATTTTAGGAGATATTATTTATTTTATAGAAAATAAGCATGCTTGATAATTTTGAAGAGAGATAACGTACATTATATATACTTTTTAAATTTTAAAAAAACGCGAAAGTACCTTTTATATAACGACGTTACATATCACCATTATTTTTCACAACCGGTTACAATAGAATTTTGCATATCAAATTTGACTAAACAGCTTAAGCTATACTTAATAAAAAATGGTAACAAGTGAAGGTTCGGACAAAGCTGGCAAAAACCAGGAGTTAGCATTACAGAGGTTGCCGACAACTGCAGCACTTGAAAAAGTTTTGCAAGTTCTCGAGTCTAATAGTCCGCTAAATCTTACGCCAATAACAAATTTCGTTCGACAAGAATTTATATCAAGGATATCATTTTTTGAAAATAAAACATCAAAGACATGGTTATTCAGAAGTTTTGTTCAACTTGGAATTCCACCATTATATTTATTCATAGCTTTAAGCATTATCTTGGGATCGATGATTGGGAATATGTATAAGAGATCGGTTTATCTTTTATGTAATTTGGTGGGTGTGGTATATCCTGCGTATAAATCGATTCAAGCTATTGATTTATTATCGGCGACAAGCGAAGGTGAAGTGTCTAATTCTTCAATTGTAATTATTAATGAACAAAAGCAATGGTTAACTTATTGGGCGGTATATGGATGGCTACAAGTTGTAGATTATTGGTCAACTTGGTTATTAGAAATGTTTCCAGGATACAATTTGTTTAAATTGATATTTCTTTATTGGGCACAAAATAATCGTTCAAGAGGTGCTACTTTGATCTTTGAAAAAATATTAAAACCTTTATTGCAAAAAAATATTCAGAACAATAACAAAATTGTTTCATCATCTACAAATCAAAAACAACGACAAACACTCCGGCAAAGACAGCAACAGCAATATAACGGCAATGAATTATACCATCAACAACAATCTGGCTCGCTTACATCTGAACCAACACCTGAGGAGATATGGAGAAGAGATACTGTTGTAACGTCACGTGAAAGTGAAATTAAACCATATCGTTTAAATAATAATGTATAGTAAATAGTAATTAATTTTATAAGTAATGCATTCATTTAATAAATTTAATAAAAATTTTTTTAATATTTCATTTTAATTATAATTCTTTCTGATACTCATTTTATTAATGCAAAATAATAATAAAGTAAAATATCAAATAATTAATGAAATCCAAAGAAAAAGTTTTTGTAATTGATATTTAACCAGATGATTTTGTAATTTAATTAAGATTCCATTATTTCGCGAAGACGACGAACAGTTGAACGTACTGTAGCAGCTGTAGTGGTACTGTTTGAAACAAAAATATGTATAATTTTAAATGAAGGTTATGAAAATAAAAACAATAACGTATAGATGATAACTTACGAAACGGTCCATGCACCACCCGCTAATACTTTTTTGCATGCACGACATTGCCAGATACCTACAGCTTTTCTTTTGACGGTATCCTGACATACAAAAAGTTTAATTAGTCAACTTCAAAAGACATCAAAGAAATAAATTTTTCAAAAAAAAAAAAAAAANAAAAAAAAAAAAAAAACAAAAAAAAAAAATTTTGCATACCTTTCCACAAAAACCGCAGGTATATTTTCCATGTTGAGTAATTTCCATCTTTTTGATCTGTTTCCTTAATGAGGCACCATAACGGGTACCATATTTACCGACAACTCCAACCTATTTATACAACAAACCAAAAGAAAAATGGACGATGCAATTATATATTAATAATAAATTAAGAACCGATCAGATTAAAATCATAACATTTCGAACCTTCTTTGTTCGTTTGGCCTATATCCATTAAAGTAAAAATGAATAAAGATTAACATACAAAATTATTAAAGGATAAAATTCATTGATAAGCTGCTTACCATTAGGATAGATGCGCGTAAAATAAAGAAAAATAATTAGGGCAGAGGAAGAAATAAAAAAAAAGGGTAATCTCGATTAAAAAAATTACACAAGATTCAACCAATCGTACTTAAGTAGATCGGTTATGCATATACCATAAATTCAACCGGATAAAAATTCGCAGCTCACATTCAAATAATCTTTGTTTCTAAAAGTAAGTAGATATTACTTTCGCGAATTTTTTTTAATATAAATTTTAAAAGATTAATAGAAGTTCTTGCTTAGATCTCTGCTTGGGAATTTACATAATTATTCTAAAACACGTAATATATAACAGATCACAATATTTTTGAAATTTAGAATATTATTTAAATAAAATAATTGTGAAAGTTAATTATTATATGTTCTTTATTTATTAATTCAAACAAGTTAGTTTGTTAGCCTAATTCAATAAATTTTGTAGTTATAAGGCAAATTCTTTATCAACAATGAGTTCACGTTCTCGTCAAAATACTATCAATCGTATCAATACCAACGCTAATAATAACAATAATAATAATGAAGAAGAACGTGGTGGAGCTATAAAGCGTACTCGTTTAGATAATGCTAATTACACTTCAACGCACACTTTTTCGAGTTCATCGTCATCATCTACTGCTGTCGCCGCTGCTACCGCATCTAGCAGTTCCTCATATGATAATTTTATAGGAAAAACATCGAAAAAATATGATCTTGTCAATCATGGTAAAGATTTGATTTTTCCTTCACATAAGCCGATCCCAGATAGGCCAAATGATGCTGTACGGCAAGGTCCTCAAAAACAACCAATTAAGAAATTAGTTATTAAGGGTCTAAAAGGTAAATTAAACTAAATGCTATTAATTTTTTTGAAGTTATTAATGTTAATCTTCTAATAGATAAACCAAAGTTACCGGATAATTATGAAGAAGTAACATGGTCAAAGCTTCAGGCAGCGGTTCAAGCTATCTTTAATTATCAACGCATTGGCACTAGTCTTGAAGAACTTTATAAAGCTTGTGAAAATCTTTGTTTACATAAAATGGCTCCATCACTTTATAAAAGATTAGCAGGGGAAATCGAAGAACATTTGAAAGTGGAGAAGACTAAGCTTGAAAAGTAAGTTAATTATATATTCCTTTAGGTTTATATTTCTATATAGTCAAGCAATTAATACATTTTTATTTTAGTAATTTAAACGAAAACGATACACTTCTTATAGTTGTAAATAAATGTTGGCAGGCACATTGTGAACAAATGGTAACTGTTGATAGTTCGACTTAACCTTGTTTTTTTAATGTTATTATTCAAAAAAACTCATCAAGTATTCCTTTAATGTAGGGTTTAATCCGAAGTATATTTTTGTATCTTGATCGAACTTATGTACTTCAAACTTCTGGAGTTATTTCAATATGGTTAGCGTGTAAATCAGAACCAAAATATTTATATCGCTAGATATTAATAGCATATCATAATATTAATTGATATCTTTAGGGATAAAGGACTTGAAATTTTCCAAAAACAAATTATGTCTTCATCGGCAGGTGATATAAAAAAGAAGACAATGAACGGTTTAATCACGCTCATCAGACTCGAAAGGTAATGTCAAAATTCAATATATATATATATATGTATATATCTTTATCGTCCCTTTTACATTATTAATTCTTTTTTCATTAACAATAGAAACGGTGATTCCGTTGACCGTCGTCTTCTGCATTCCCTTATTCATATGTTTATTGATCTTGGAATATATTGCCCTAGTTTTGAAAATCTATTCTTGATGGAAACCCGTAGTTATTATCATCATGAAGGAATAAGCCTTGTAAGCGAAATCACAGTGCCGAGATATCTAAAACATGTAAAGAAACGTTTAAGGGAAGAAAGTGACAGAGTTTCGAATTATTTGGATTGGAAAACGAAAAATCCACTGACAAAAGTAGTAGATGATGAATTAATAAAGAGACATGTTGATACACTTTTGGAGAAAGGTTAATACCGAACTTTATATGTAATATTTTATGATTTATAGTATTAAGCTTCTTTAAATTTGTTACTTAGGCTTCAATGATATGATGGAGGACCAACATGCAGATGAGCATATACAAGAATTAGGAAGATTATATGATCTTTTGGCTCGAGTCAACTCTCTTGATCGTCTGCGTCTTTACTTCGGAAATTATATTAAGGTCACACAACTTATTTACTTAACAATTTATGAATTCGTAGCAACTCAACATATTAAATGAACTTTCCTACCAATAGAAAACCGGTTCAAATATAGTTAACAACGTAAATCAAGAATCAACTATGGTTGAAGATTTGCTTGCCCTGAAAAAGAAAATGGATAGTATTGTTGCTATATCATTTGACCGAAATTATAATTTTGCACACGCCGTAAAAGAGAGTTTTGAGGTGTTCATTAATCAACGTCAAAATAAACCTGCCGAACTTATTGGTAAGAAATCCCATTAATTTTTTTTACTATATATTTGTATGCCTAACATGTTATTTAACTATTTGTCAGCCAAGTATGTCGATTTGAAACTGAAACTTGGTAATAAACGTATGGATGATTTAGAAATCGAAAAGACGTTGGATGAAGTATTGGTTTTATTCAGATATATTCAAGGTATCCATCCTCTACTTTATCTTCTTAATTCTTCTTAATTCGTAGTAATTAAATAATTTGACTTTTAACGCATATTTGATATTTCATGTAGGGAAAGATATATTTGAGGCCTTTTATAAGCGTGACCTTGCAAAACGTCTTTTGCTTAACAAGAGTGCATCATTTGATTATGAGAGGAGCATGTTATCCAAATTGAGAAAAGGTAAATTCAATTGTTCTGCTTTAATCAATACAAGTGAATTTCTTAACATTAATATTTGTATTTATAACAGAATGTGGACCGGGGTTCACAAGCAAACTGGAAGGCATGTTTAAGGATATTGACCTTTCTAGAGATTTTATGAATTCATTTTATGTAAGTTTTAAATTACAATTCTTAAAATATTAAATTTTTAATGTAAGAACATTCATTAACATAACTTTTGTTTCAAGCATTCTAGAATTTCTGAGAATTTAAGAACAAACATTAAAATTGATCTTTATGTAAATGTGCTAACCCAAGGATTTTGGCCCACATATTCACCAGCACCACTTATCTTGCCACCTGTTGTAAGTTCTGATATATTTTACTTAATAGATATGTTTCTTATTATATTAAAATTATCAATTTTTGTTTTAATAGATGGCAGAATGTCAAGAAATATTTAAGGAATTTTATCTCAGCAAACATGGAGGACGAAATTTAAAGTGGCAAAATTCTTTAGGTCATTGCCTATTGGCAGCAGAGTTTCCGAAAGTAAATATTGGTTTTAACATTAATTTTTTAGTCAATAACTTATAACTGAAATTTCTTATTTTATTCATTTATTTTTTTTTTTATTTTTGAAAAAAATAGGGAAACAAAGAATTAGTCGTGAGTTTATTCCAAGCAGTAGTGTTATTACAATTTAATGACTTGAAGCTAAAAGAAAGAATTTCATACGAACACATTAAAGAACATACAGGAATTGGTTTGTAAGCTATTTATTTGATATTCCTTTTGAATATTTATTAACGTGTAAATTTATTTGCGCCTATTTAGAGAAAAAAGAACTTGATCGTACGTTACAATCATTAGCATGTGGTAAAGTTCGCGTTCTTAAAAAACATCCAAAGGGACGTGATGTGAGTCCCACTGATTCTTTTAGTGTAGACGAAATGTTTGATGTCAAATTTTTCCGCATTAAAGTTAATGCTATTCAAATGAAAGAAACGGTAAGTGTAAATAGAATCATCAGGAAAAATTATTTTCTTTATTTAACCTTATTTTGCTTGTGGTATAGTTGGAAGAAAATCAGGAAACTAATGAGCGTGTCTTCCTGGATCGACAATATCAAGTGGATGCCGCGTTAGTCCGAATAATGAAAATGCGAAAGAAACTTAGTCATAATGAACTAGTTTCTGAATTATTGTCACAGTTAAAATTCAAAGCACAGGTAAATTCAAAGCTCAATAAACTACTATATTTATATTTAAATTGCAAATTCTAATTATTCTATTGTTTATTATAGGTATCAGATATTAAGAAACGTATAGAATCTTTGATAGAGCGTGAATACTTAGAAAGAGATAGTGAAGATCCATCAATACTTAAATATTTGGCTTAACTTTTTTTAATTTTCATTAATAATAAGTTTATTAAATAGCAATTTATTATGTTTTAAACCTGTGATTATGTTTTTAATTTCAATAAAACGTTAAAATTTTGCTAAATTTAAGTTTCTCTTATCGAGTGAATTTTTTCAATATATCACTTTTTCGAGTTGTAGCTTGTAAATTAAACGTTACTAAAAACAAAGTTATCTTACCATTATTTTTTAAATGATTTGTTACTTTTATATATAAGAGTAAATAATAAATTATAAATTCAAAGGTTAAAAATACTCATGTAAACTGTGTACATTTTTTTTTAACTTGCTGGTGTATCGCAAACTTTTGTTGGTATATAACTCATTTGTTTTTGATGCGTATCAATAGCGGATGGTAGTGTAAAATCTTTAATTTCTTTAAAATAATAATTTACTAAAGCATTCTTTGCAGCCTATATATAAAATTAATAAGAAATCAATAAGGAATCTTAATTTTTTGTAATACAACTAATAGCTACCCTGAATTCCGCCATCTTCAAGTTACTACCAAACCCTTCAGCTAGCTTTTCGGTATCCGAATATACACCGATGACAAAAATGGGTTCCTTCGTTAAACGGCCAGCTTCAAATAACAATCTATATTTATGTTAAAATACGTTATATAACGTTCTAATTTAATTCTTAACGTTACAAGAAATACCTAGAAATAGGTGGCTCTCGTCCTAGACGTCGCATTAACGCGGATAAATCTTTTTTTGGTGTTTTGACATCATATACTTGTTGAATATCCAAATCTCTTGATAGCAAATAATCTTGGACAAACTTTCGTGCAGAATTTGGCCCCTATTAATGGAGTAAAAGTGAATAACAAATCCTTGTATGATAAGAGAGTACTGTTTTACTACTTGCTTTGTCCAAATATAATGCTCCAACAATTGCCTGTACAGCCTGAGCCATAACATATCCAATCTTATTGGAAATTTTGCGTGATTCGTATAGAACATTATTTTCATCTGTAGATCCTGATTGATCCTCAATAGCAGATGAAATATATAAATCTGTCGACTGAATGAATTTTTAGTTTAACGAAACATTTACATGTAAAGAAAGGGGAGAAATAAACCAAACTAATTAAAAAGACCAACCTCAGACCACCTCATAACATACTTTAATCCAATTTCACTACCAAATGTTGATAGAGTACCGATCCCATTATAAATATTCACTATTTTTTCCAAGTAGTTTGTGTGCAATAGTGGAAACTTCATATGAAAATATTCTGTAATATAAAGTTCTATCGCGCACTTCCCTAAGTGAATAAAAGAAGGTTTTTAATTCACAAAACTTGCTAAATGATAAGTTCTAAAACTAAACGTGCCTAGTTCTTTAAAGCGTTTGTTTGGTGATAAATTAGTATCTGAGAAGCTTTTATGCGTAACGGCTTGCAGTAATATTTTGGGGTCAGAAAAATTAAGATGCATACGCGCTGCAAACGCGTATAATGCTGGTGATATTACATCCTTTTGGTCCTTATGTGTTATTTTGTTTTTTTCTTCGATATAAAATGTATTAGTGTTTGAAAAGGAACGAATTGTAACAAAACAATTGTGACGCAATAAAATATTCCTATTGATAATTGAGTAATTTTTAACCAACGAAAACAACGAAAACATCGAAAATTTTCTATTACGCGATTAATTTATTTTTGATGATTAAAAAAAAAAAAATTTGCGCCTACTTAAATTCACATGTACGACAGTATTTAATGATGAAATGTGCATCTAGTTTTTACATATAACTCGCATTTTGTCGACTAATTACAAATTACACTACACTCCTTTAAAAAAAAAGAGCTTTTGCTGTGAGAAAAAAAATTATACCTTATCCAACACCGCCAATATCTTTGCCTTATTTTCTTAGCTTAACATCTTAAGCAATGTCAAGGAAAAATAAACCTAATTTGCGGAGGAGAAATGTCAGTTCGAAGAAAGTTCCGCAGGAAAGAATAAATCAGATCAATGAAGCTTTTATGAAAAAGAACATACCCGAACTTCGAAAATTAGCAACTACAGGCCCTGGTTTGGTCAATGATGGGTTACGACGGTTATGTTGGTAAGTATAACGATTTTTGTAAATAAAAATTGTCGGGTTAATTTATAATTTCAAATTAGGCCATTACTTTTGCATTGCGAACCTTACGAACCTTACGATAAGAAAGATCTTCAAGGTTTGAAGTGAATCCCAATTAGATTATTCGAACTATTTATTTCCAATTAAAACTAATTAATGATCGTTTTTATAGAGGAACATAAAGACGAGCGTCAAGTTCTACTTGATGTAGATCGGTCGTTTGTCTATTATCCTAAAGGTAAATGTTAGTATTTAAATGTTCGAATTATTCGTCGATCGTCATTTTAATATCATTGCATAACAAGGGCTAAATAATGCTACGAAAAAACATATGCAATCCGAATTGAAAGACGTTATCGTAGGAATTTTACGGAGGCATCCCAAGCTTGCATATTATCAGGTATGGATTTGATAGCTAACATGCTTGCCATTTATTCAATTACAATCGTTATTAACATAATTTTATTAGGGATTCCATGATATATGTTCAGTTCTTCTACTTGTATTGGGAAATAAAGAATCTGCTATTAAGGCGGGAGAGAATATTGCTATTTTTTTATTAAGATATCCTTATTTATATCAAATACATTAATTTGCTACATTTATTTGCGATTCCTTAACTCCGATGAACGGATGCGATGCTCGATTCATTAGAACCTATTATGAAGCAACTTACTCTTTTGAACACTTTGATTCGATTGGAAGACCCAGCAATTGCAGATTTTCTTGAAAAGTCAAATACTTTACCGTATTTTTGCCTTAGTTGGGTTATAACTTGGTGTAGTCATGATGTTCGAGATTTATCGAAAGTTGTTCGTTTATTCGATTTTTTCATCTCATCAGATCCTTTAATTTCAATATACTTATCTGCTAGAGTAAGTAATATTAATTATATTAAATTTTTTTGTATAAATTTATTAATGATATATATATAACAACAGATTGTCATTAGCCGTCACAAAGAATTATTAGCGCTAGAGTGTGATGGTGCAATAGTTCATACATTTTTATCAAAATTTCCTCAGTATATTGATATAGATGAACTAATTTCAAAAACAATTCAACTGTATAATAAGTACAGAAAGTTCTGCCCTCTTGTACTTAAAAAGGCAATCAATGAAGCGTTGGATGAAACGTACTTATTGTCAATTATCGTTTTTTTTTTTATTTTTTAAGAAAGAATTTAATTTAATCTTCTTAATATTTATTAGATCCTGTGCCATATTATACGAACAACATTGGCTAAAATTAAAAGTTGACGAACCCATCAATTATTTGGCTGTGGATAAGATTCTTTCTTCGCCTTATTCGGCTAAAAAGTCTATGCAAATTAAAAATTCAGAGAAACCAAATATGCTAAATAAAAAACGGGTAGTCATGGTGTTAATAAGTGCTACTCTTTTTTATTGGTTATTTAATAAAATTTTAATATCATTCTATGAACGAAACCATAAAATCAATTATTAAATCAACACAATTAGAACAATTAGAGCAAAAAAAAAGAAAAAGAAAATATATATATTATTAGAATTATTTATAACTAGAAAAAATATCACCGAAATTATAGAAATATGAACTAGACTTAGTATGGTGTAAGTTACATAACGTTATTAATTGATATAAACATATAAACAGTTTATTTATCATTCCCATTCCTCATCTTTGCACTTCCTACCATATTACAAATTTTTTATTAGAATTTTACAATAATAGAATAAAAAATATAATATTTTGCACGAAGATGGTGGAATCCAATCGATAGATTTTATTAAAATTTCCGCCATGTGAAAAAACGCGTTTATACGCGAGATGCTCGAGGTAAACAATATCAGATAATCATCAAGGCTTATCTGTTATCTGTTATAGGTTTATCATGCAGTGATTGTAGTAGGAAGTAGGAACAGTTTACAACATTTATTTCTGTTTTTACTTTTTAGTTTAAATTGTTAAATTTAATTTCACGCGCCAAGCACTTTCTTATAGAATACTTTATTTTGCTTTTCACAAAGAGCGGAAGCCTTATATAAAACGTTGATAAAGAAAAAAGAAGTTAAATGTCATACGCCCAACCTCGTTTAGGTGCTTATAACACTACTCAATTTCGCTTCTCACAACAACCCAATCAGCCAATCATTAATAGTTCTCTGCCTAGAACCAGGTTAAATGGTTCTGTTCAGGGTATGGTAACCTCTCAAAAGAGCGTTCCTATTTCCGTAACTCAAATAGCAGAAACTAAAAGACTTGCAGCTGATAGGGAGGTTATAGTTTTGTCTTCAGATTCTGACTCTGATACTGAAACTAGAAGACCTGTTGTGTCTAGAGAAATTAAAGGTAAAGAGAAAGAAAATATTAGTTATGTTAATAAAGGGATGTCGAATTTATTGATAGATTATAATAGTGATGTAAATCGAAATAGTGTATTTGACAAAGATAATCGTCAGCGTAATGTTATTGATTCTTTTTCGAACAATACAATTAAACCAAAATCCACACACGAAAGTACCAATAAAAAAAACCTTCTTGATGACTATAAATTAGTTCAGTCGAATAAAGGAAACCCTTCATTATCCCAAATTGCTAACCCAGTTAGGGTTTTTTTGAATATATTGGAAGATCATAAAACCAATATAGAGTTTTTTGATATCATAGTCGATTTTACTAGGATTTATCTTGAAATTTATAATGAAGATAAACGAATTATTACGAAAATAAACGACTTTCAAACTCTTGTGGTTGATTTGATATATTGTTTAATGTCGAGAATGAAAGGTAAAAATTTAAATATATAGTTACATAGTAAACCGGATTTTTTTTCATTATTATTACAACTCGGAAGATCTTTTTTTTATTCAGATGATCATTACATGGCAACATCAGAAAGATTTAAGCAAGTCGAATTGCTTGCACAGAAAGCTATCGAAGTTATTGATAAATTAAAAGAGACAGGTTTAAATTATAGGATATGAGTTTCTCTTCATATTTATATTGAAATTATTAATCGAAATATTATCATTTGTAACATATTAGGTGATATTATGAAAAGAATAGAATATTATAAGGAAACTCAACTTCATGATGAAGGAAAAAGAAGAATTGGTGAAGAAGTAAATTCACAAGAAAGCAAGCGAAGAAAACAAGGTGACGATAGAAGATTTGTATATGGAGGAGAAAAATTAAAAACAAATACGTTAGAAGAACAAGATAGACTCTGTGAAGGACAAAAAAGACGGGAACAGCTAAAGCCACATGAGGAAAAGAAATTACGTGATGAGCTTGAAAAAGAACTAGTGCGAAAAAATTGGCAAGAATTAGAGAAACAAATGAAATCACAGGTGAACATAGTTCCGTCGTCTAAAAGGCTTGATCATTCTTCTATGCCAGCACCTCCGCAATTCAATGATATTCGGCCGAGAAAGAAAACTGGTGGTGAAGCAGAATTCATGAATTTACTGGCAGAACCTTTACATGAATTGATCACGACTCAACTTGTATATGATTCGTACAAGAACTTTACTCCATTTCATTTAAGTCAAACAGTTGGTAAATGTACCGTTAATAAAATATTTAGACTTAATAATTCTGAAAGAGAAGAGTATTGTAAACAATTATATCGCCAGTATATCAATACTAATATGAAAAGTACAACTAGTGTTCTCGAGAGTTGGATCAAAACTAGGATCTCAGAAATTGCGAGACCTTATCTCTCTGGTAAAAAACGATAAAGATATAACAAAGAATTGGAGTATCATTGAATATAATAAAATGGCTTGAATTTTAGATAAATAATTTTATTGATTTTTACATACGTTGATGAACTAAATCATTATTGTGTTTACAATAACGGGAACGATTTAACGAAAACATCAAACTTTTTTTCCCTTTATTTTTTATTATTTTAAGGATGATGTGAAGCGAGCTTGATATGAAATTAACAATGAGATATTTCCTTTTTTCGACATGTAAATATTTTCTTTTTCTATTTAAATATTTAAATTAAAAGATTAAAAATTAAATTTATATTACTCGTGATTGACTGTTAATTATTTTATTTGTAATCAAATTAAATTTTAATTTATCTATAAAATTAAACAAATCTGCAACGTTGTACTGGGGATTATGTCAAAAAAAAATTGATAAACATGTGATAAAAGCTTATTAAGTTTTGTGTTAGGATAATAAAATTGGGTGAAAAAAGAATCCTGAATCTCTATTCTTACCAAAAAAATTAAATGATCGGCAGAATTAAAATGGTCACAAGGTTATAGATCTTCCGTATAACCAGAATTTTGGCATAAGAGCAAATTCTTTATAAAATAGAAGTATAAAATTTATAAAATTTTGACTTTAGCTTTTAGTAATTAAAAATTAAATTAAGAAAAAAGATGAGGTTTATTTGTTCGCTATTTTTATACCTCTAATTTGAATATTAATTTCAGATTAGAAATTATCAGTTTTTTTTTTTTATTGAAGTTCAAATACTAACAAAAGAGGGTTTGATTATATAATCTCATTACTTGATAAGAGTTGATTTTTCTTGCAATTTTCATTTTTCCCGGTTAATTTTTCGGCAAAGATATATTTATAAAAAAAAAAATTCATTATATAAAAAAGTGTCACAAAATCACATTCGCGAATTAATCGGCTTCCAATTAAAGGAGATAAACTCTTTTAGTTATTACCGAACCCAAACACATGAAGATAAAACATACACATGATAATTAAATTTGTATTTTTTTTATTGTACCTTATTTTTAAAAAAAGAAATCGTATAAAAATGATTAAAATCAAGATTTAGAGATATAAAGGATTCCTTTTTATGGAAAAAACTAGTTCATATAAAGTATTATTTCTCGCGATTAAGAATATATGACATCTCGTGTTAAACGTGAAATTTTTCATAAAATAATATCATTGCAAATATTGTAAATCTCCATATGAAATATTATGTATTTCTCTATCAGGATAACAAATTTCTTTGATACCATTTATAAATTCTTTTATATACGCATATATAAGTATTAGTTTTTATAAATAATAATAAATTTTTCGTCATCTGAAAATTTCCCGGATCTCTGATTATCATTATTTATATACATATATATAAAGAGTGGTTTGAACTAATTTTTATGAAATTTTATGAAACTTATCGACGCAGCGTACGAATTGTAGCGAACGAAATATACATAAATTATATATATATATAAAAATGCTCACACAATTTTCTTCAGCTACGGCAGAAACTGCCTCTTCCATTCATTCTTCTATTTCAAGTAAACTCGCGTATAATTACAATAAATTTAATGAAACTTATCCTTATTTATCATCAGCCATCAATGATGGGACCAATTACATATATTCAATTGGGGATAAAATTAGTTCCTATACATCTGTTATTCAACCAGTAGATGGTTCTGAAGAAAGAGAGATTACTAGAACTCCTCCCAACGAAAATTTGGGCGAGAATGTCATCCCGTTGAATGACGAAAGGATTGAACTGGTCAATCATTTATTAGACTTACATAGTTCGAAACCCTCGAAAGAGTGTTTCAAACATTATGACGATAATGTCATATTTGAAGACCAGCTCATTTATACTACTGGACTCCCAGACTTGAAGGCCCAATTTTACGGGACACTAAAAATACCCGTAAAATCCACCATTATTAACTACAAGATTCTTGAGAACACTTTAAATATTCTAAGAATCAGTATGTCTCAAAAATATTTACTTCCATTCGTGAGTCGGGCTTTCATGCTAGAAAGTGAGCTCATTTTGGAGTTCAATGAAAGCAAAAAAATTTATAAACACACGGAGTTGTGGTACGGTAGACAACCTATCGTCCAAGGCGAAGTAAGTAGTTTTAAATAGGAATTAAATTTCTTTTTATTAAACTTGTTTATCTAATCTTTATTTATTTTATTTAGATATTACGAAAGGGAGCTGCTAAAATTGTGGCCAGATTCGTTAGTGTTCCTGAATAAACGAGAAAATTCTCGTTTTATACATTCATTTATCCAAATTTTTTTTTTATTATTTTGTAGTTTCATTAACATATTTTTTATATTTATGATTGTATTTATTTATTTATTTTTATTCAAGATTAAAATAAATTTATGATCTTTAATTCTTTAATTAAGAATTAATGGAAAATTTGTGTCTAAAAAAAAAATAAAATAAAATAAAATGTTTCCAAATGTTATGTTTTTTTTAAACTTCAGAAAGTTGATATATGTTTGCTTACCCACAACTGGGACAATGATAAAAAACGGTTTGTCCTTCATCGGCTGATCTTAATTGCATTGTGTGATAATTCATTTCATCGTTTCCACAGTTTGGACACTTTTCCTTTATCTAATACAACGAAGATAATTGAAAATTGAATCGATAAGTCATATGAAAAGAAAGTTATTTATTTTGACATACTCTTGCGCTTTCTTCTTTGTACCTATCCAATTGTTGAATTTTTGAGCGGCGTAATCGTAATTTCGAAGGAAATGATTTTGGATTACTTTTTGTTACAATTATTATATCATCATATTCTAAATGGGTGATATATTATTTGAAATTATAATCAAAAGAAAAAAATTTTTTTTTTTTTTTTTAATTACCGGCTGCATCCTTTTTTGCATTACATGCTAAACATTCCAAAACATCGTCACCAGTATTTATCATTAATGTACCACATCTGTGACAAAATATTGGCCCTGAAGAAATTTTTAAGTCATTATCCATTTTAACTCAAAGTAATATGGGATCAAAAAAAAAAAACAATTCTCGCCTTTGCCGCAGTAAACTAATTGCAATTTATAATCACATGGTAACACAACCGAGTTTATTAACAGAAAAGATGATTTATTAAAAGTGAAAAGCTAAGAAAGAAATTATTTAATCTTCATCCATAGGATCTCCCAAGCCTTCATTCTGAGAGTCATTTCTTATAGATGATTGTTGTTTCTTTTGAAAAAAAGAAGATATTTTTTTTTGTTTAGGATCGTAAATGGCACTACCAATACCACCTTGTTGTCTAACTAATCCACGAAGATGTTCAATATAATTATTTCTAATTATTTCCACATGTAAAGGTTCTTGTTCATGATCATCAAATGTGTGAATTTTTATCGTAAATATAGAAGTATTATGTAAAGGAATAAATTGCCATTGTTGTTGATTACGTAAAATTGTTTTATGTATCAATAAAGCATTTAAGATTTCATTGATAAAAATTGAATGTGATACAATTAATATATGTGGATGCCCTTGGTGAAAAGAGAAATCTTTTTGCTGAGAATTGATTTTTTGTTGTTGCTGGTAATATGATAATAAATCCGATAAAAATGACATGGCTCTATTGAAAACATCCTCTAATGATTCCGCTCCTTCGCCAACAAATTTAATTAAACGCCGATCTGGAGGTGTTAAGGCATATTTTACTGGTAAAGTGTTTGATTTATCCTCAAAATAACCGAAATGTTGTTCCCTTAAACGAATCTCTGAATATAATTCTATCGGATTTGTGCTGAAATTAATATTTCGTGATAAGATTAATTCAGCGGTAGATATTGTTCTTATTAAATCACTCGTTATTACAGATGTAAACTGTTCACAAGAAAGTTAGTAATAATATATGAGAATCTGAAGAAAAGAACGATGAAAAAAAACTAACCCTTTCATGTTTTAATGCTTCTCCAGCTTGTTCAGCTTGCTATTATTAATCAATTCCGGTTAAATAAGATAAATAATAATTTATAATGATAAAAAAAAATCAATTTTATAATTATACCTGAGCACCAAAATTTGTTAATGGACTATTAGTATGTCCTTGCCAACGTTGTTGAACATTTCCAATACTTTCTCCACTAAAAAAGAAAAATAAATTATTTTCTTTACTTCCATATTAGTACGTGTTAAATATGGCAAAAAATTTGTTTAACTTACTGTCTCACTATTGTTATAGTAATCATTCTTAATTAAGGACGTGTTTTGATTATAATATTTGTGATTTACGTGAAGGAGAGTTTAAATACATAACCATGTTCTTGCCCAATCAGATTAAATACATTAATTACTAATCAAGTTAAATGCGATACACGAATGACGAATTACATACTGTTTTCATACGCAGATTAAGATCTACTTACTATATTACCATATTGTATTGAATGCAAGAGTATTCTTTCGAACTTTCACTTTTCACTTTTTTTTAATTCCTTAGCAAAAAGTTTCAAAAAATGGGTAATATATTTAGCAGTTGTTTTCAATTTAAAAAGACGAAAACGCAAGGCCATAGACTTGGGGGTAATAATACTACTACAATTGGTAGCAGTACGAATGAAAGTGGATGGAAAACAAATGAACAATCGTTGAATAGTAGTGGTAGAACTACGGGAGGCAGCGGAGGAGCGCCTTCTAGAGAAGATATGCTTGCTGCCGCTCAAAAAAGACAAGACGAAGTTAGTAAAATTATTATATTTCCGTAGTAATGTAAGAGTTATTAATTCTTTCTTTTTCTTGTTTATAAGGCGAGATCAAAAGGAGTACAAAAAGGTGGAGGCAAATTAAGTAAGAAACTCGAAGATCAACAAAAAAATCCGAATCAACCTGACTTAGTTCCTTCAGATTCAAATCTACAAGTAAGAATTTTTTTTTTTTTTTTTTAGTTTTAATAACTTGACATAAATTTATTCTTTATTTTTATAGTGGAGAACGGATTGAGATTCAGTTATTATTTATTGAACTATTATTATGTTATTTATTTAATTTATTTTGACAAGAAGAAAGGATATTTATAAATTTATTATAACAGATGATAATATTATCATAAAGGATGGAAAAAAAATAGGGTTCTCAAAGGAAATTTATCAGAAATCAACAATAATTTATTTATTAATCATTTTAATTATTCATGTATAAATATTTTGCATATTGAATTGGATTGGAAAGAATATTCACTTTTAATATATTTAAACAGTAGTAAATAGGAAGAATTTCTTTATTCCTATACCTTCACCTTTTCTTCCTAATCTCAATCTGTAGTTATAATACCACCTTTTTTTAAAAAATCCTTTGCATGTCTAATAATATTAGTAGAAACTTGTTCAGCATCAAGATTTTTACCATAAACGTCAACAAATTCACCATCCGGATTCATTAAATAAAAAAATATACTATGATCAACTAAATATTCTTCTCCCGGTTGTAATTTTGGCGGTTTACTAAAATATACTCTATATGATTTAGCCACTTTAGATAATTGTTCATGTGATCCTGTTAATCCCACCATATCCTTATGGAAATCTGTGATAAGGTATAGAAGAAAGAATTAGAAAAGAGAAAATATAAATAAGAAAATCGTAAATTAATAAGGATAAACTTACCTTCAAGGTACTTACGAACTACTTCAACGGAATCTCTTTCCGGATCACAGGTTATGAAGATTGGGATTATAACTTTACTTCTACCGAATTCCTCACTGTTATCTATAAAAATTTATTTAACAAAAATTCAACTTTTTTTTAAAAGATTAATCAAACTTACTTATAATATCGGTAACTTTAGACATTTTATCTAATTCTTCGGGACAAATATCAGGACAGTGAGTAAACCCAAAATAAACTAATAAAAATTTTCCAAGGAAATCTTTATCTGTTACTAATTTTCCGTCTTGATTTATTAATTCAAATGGTCCTCCTACTTTTGGTCTTCCTATTGACTTATTTGCTAATTCTTCTTTGCCTACATTTCCCAAAGCAATTATTACTATTAAATAATTAAAAAGGAAATCAATATATTAGAAACTTTTTTTGAATACATACGTTTTTCTAGTACCTTTTTTTTTTCATTTTTAAAATAAAAAAACAACCCTGTTCCTGTTACAATAAACAATACTAAACTTTTCCAATTAAATGGCTGTTTATTTTTGAAAGAAAATTTTTTTGATTAATTCTCAAAAGGTTTAAAATTTTACGTAAAATAGTATAGTAAACATCTTACTCCAACAGTATAACGATCTCTTAAGGTTTCTTCGAATCCAACATTTTTAGGTGGCGTTTGTTGTTGCTTTTGTGAAGAAGCACTATTATATCTCACTTTACCGCCAGTTACATTTTTATTAAGAAAACGGGGATTAAAAAAGTTTTGTGTTTTATTATTTAAAGTATTAATATTCCTTAGATAATACTAATTAATTTCCATTAAAGATTTCATTAGATGATAAATTTAGTTGAATCCAAATTTAAAGCTATGTACTCTACCTGGTTTCTATATACCGAATATGAATTTCCAATTCTCTTAACTAAAATAGTGTTTAATTTAAATTTTTCATACAATAAATATGGTAATTATTCTTTAAAAACATACCAGCAGAATTCATAATTCAAAAAAAAATACGAAAGCCTCATGTAACACGAGATCTAACAATTTCCTAGAGTATTATATAATCAAATTTTTTCCGGAATGATAGGCACAAAAATCGAATACCCCGTAAAATATTAACAAGGAACTCTTACACCAGAAATCATGTCGAATGGTCGTTTGGATCCAGCGGAGACAGAACGTTTACTTAGTTTTGGCCCAGAACGCAGAAAGGTCGGTTAAACCAGTGGAAGGTTGAAAGTTTCTAATTCTTCCAAATCCAATGCCACTTCCAATGTTGGGTTATATATATGTATTTAAAAATAAAACATATTGATAACTATTGGAATATCGAAAGGAATTGTAATTGGAAAAATTGGAAAGGATTGGAAGGTTTAATTTCAATGAAAATTGGAAACTTCCAAGAAAATCACTGGTTAAACAATAATTTGATGATATTTAATATTTATATTTCAATAAATAAATTTTCCAATATAAATTTAATTAAAATTTATCTTATATTTGTTAATCAAATGAACTATATCTAAACGATGATTTGACTCTAAATCTTATTTCTAAAGACGCGAAGAGAACTGTGTTTTGTATGTTTCACCGCGTTGATAATTGTAGGCGTAATAATAGGATCAATTGCAGTATGGGTATCACTATCTTATGGTATGGAATGAAAGTAAAATAAAATAGTAATAATAATATTTTTTTAATCAAATATACTTATTAAATATTTAGTTGATTCTGGAAAAAGAAATGTCATCCTTATGATCTCTGATGGATTTGGTCCTGCATCAGAAACATTTGCTCGTACTTATAAACAATACGTAACTAAATTAGAATATAACTATGTCACTCCTTTGGATGAAATTCTAGTTGGATCTTCTCGAACTAGATCATTTGATAGTCTTGTCACTGATTCTGCCGCTGGGGCTACAGCTTTTTCTTGTGGCATTAAAACCTATAATGGCGCTATAGGCGGTAGGTTATTGTCATATTTACAATGTTTTTAATTTTTAAAAAGTTGTCTATCTAATTCGCGCACATTATTTTATGTAGTTAACCCAAAGAAAGAACCTTGTGGTAACATATTAGAATCAGCAAAGTATTTGGGCTTGGCAACAGGTTTAGTTGCTACAAGTAGTATTACTGATGCTACACCAGCTTCATTTTCGGCTCATGTAGTTAATAGATTTATGGAATCTGATATTGCTGTACAACAAATTGGTGATAGACCTCTTGGAAGACAAGTTGACTTAATGATTGGTGGGGGTCGTTGCTTTTTCTTGCCAAACCATACAGCAGGAAGCTGTAGAATTGATGAACGTGACTTAGTTATAGAATCAAAGAAGAGAGGATTCAAATTCTTTTCTACGAGAAAAGAGTTTGATGATCTTGAACCAGTAGAAAACAAGTATGTTGTGTAATACCTAATTTTTTTATTACTTCGAATTTATTGTTGTAACCTACATTTGTTATACAAATATAGTCTTCCTCTTTTAGGTCTATTCACACTCGATGTAAGTCGCTCCTTTTATCGATGATTTCATATTGTAAATAGTAATTTATCGTATATTATACAATAGAATATGTCATATGAAATCGATCGTGATCCTACTCAAGAGCCATCCTTAAAAGAAATGTCAGAAAAGGCTCTTAAATTCCTTGAAGCCGCAACTGCTAATAGCGATAAAGGCTTTTTCCTCATGATTGAAGGCAGCAATATTGGTAATTGAATTTTGAAATAAATTTTTAATTTTGATTTTTAATTTTGATTTGCATTTTTCATTAATTTTTTGTTATATTTATTTTTTATGAATTTGTTCTTCAAAGACAATGCTGCTCATGCGTATGTATTTTATATTTTAGTATTTTAAATATTCTATTATAAGGATATAAATTTATCTCATTTTTTGTTTAAATTTTCTACAGGAATGACCCTGCTGCTCATGCTCATGAAATCTTGGCTTATCATGACACAATTTCTCTTGTCAAGAAATATGTTGATGAGCATCCTGGCACAGTTATGATTTCAGTCAGTGACCATGAGACCGGCGGATTATCTCTTGCTCGTCAACTCACTTCCGATTACCCAGAATATTTATGGTAAGTATCTTCATTAAAAAAAATTCTATTAAAGATTTTTAAGATTAAAATTTATTGTAAAAAATATTGTGCTTTTATAGGTATCCTGAACCCATAACACGTGTAAAGAATTCATCATATGTCCTTTCACAATTATTACTTAATTATTGGAATAAAGATCGTATTGAATATATTAAAAATACAATTCGTAACGGATTAGGAATTGAAGATTTTGAAGATTATGCTATCAATTGGTTAAATGAATCTCATGCTCAAGTAGAATACGAAATGTTTTTGGCTAATATGACAAATTTTAAAGCTCAGCTTGGGGTAATCTACTTTGAACTTATTTATTAATTATTTTATTTAAAATATTGCTAAAGTTTTCTTATTTTTCTTGAAAAAAAAAAATGTTCTAGTGGGCAACACATGGACATTCTTCTATTGATGTCAATCTTTATGCGTATGGACAAAATACTGAAGTTTTACGTGGAAATCATGAAAATACTGATATCGGAGATTTTATTACCAAATATCTTAATTTGGATCTTGATTTCATTACACGTAAATTAAACAGGTATGTCATAAATAATTATTTAATGTAGTATTTATTATTATATATTTCACATTTACTAACAACAAACATTTTTCTTCATTTAATTTAACAGCAATAATGGTATTTAGTTTATAATTATAGTTACATATTATTAATGAAATACTTGAAATACTTAACTTCTTTTTTTTTTTCTTTTTTTTTTTATAGATACATTCCATCAGGCTACTGATTCCACTCATTTTCACGGTGATAAATTTAATCATCATCATGAAATTAAGTTTGGTGATAACCATAATTAAAACTATATACGTGTTGTGTATATATATACATTTTTTGTTTTTTTATTATAATTTGATTGAATGTATTACCAGTTAAAAAATAGTATTTTAGTAGTCGAACAACTAATTTATGTTTTACAATTTTTTTTTTTTTTCACCCGAATTTGTGACTGTGTTAATTGTGTCCTAAAAAAGTTAGCATTGCTTACTTTAGTTACTACCGACGATCTCATGGCAAAATATTTCTTTCATTAATCAGGTTAATCCTTCTTTTCTTCACAGATGAATAATAAATTTGAAAATTTATTTTAGAGCAGCTTATTATGAATTAAATATTTGTTCAATAATTTATTATGTAAAAAATAACACATGAATCCTTCATTAAATTTAATTTATTCAAAGTGCCAAAAAAAAAATCATATCGAAGACTGTTAGACATGAAAAAATGAGAATCAAATTATTACTTATACTGTTCTTATTAAGGAGTCCTTAAATGTCAAGGAGGAGCCACAGGTATCGGGTTATCACTTCAATCAGATCTGAAGTGATACGAGATTGCCCGATAATAGAATTTTTTTCGGGAAACTTGAGTGATCGGAATCAGTCTATATATAGTAGTCGTGATTTTGTTGATTTGTTTATTACCCGGCGGTTTCTTTTTCGTACATCACTCGACATCATTAACACGAAAAAAAAAAAAAATAAATAAAAATAAATTTTACCATGGAATCTATGGACCATGTGGATTGCGAATATGAAGTTGAAAAGGTAGTTGACCAAAAAGTTGTTAATGGGAATATTTACTATCAAATAAAATGGAAAGGTTATGATAGTGAATATAACTCATGGGAACCATATCATAATCTCAATTGTTCAGAGTTATTATCTCGTTTTCAATGTGAACAAATAATTAGAAATAAAAAAATATTGGAAAGAAAACGTCAACTTCTTAAAGAACGTGATTCAAATTCATCTACATCCAGTAAAGATGGATCTTCTGTCCAGTTTTATAAAAAAGAAATTAAAAATTCTACTATTCATAAAGAAACACGAATACAAAAAAACATTTCGGAAGCACAGTATAATAAAAATAATAATAGTAATAGTAGTATTGGAGTTAAAAGACCTATGACATTAGTTGAAAAATTTCAACAGCAAACTGGATTTGCATCTAATAAAAAACCTAAAATTATTATACCAATTCCATCACCTAAAGTTTTAGAGTTTGAAAGATTTCTTAATCGTTCTATTAAGAATGGTCCACCGATTTCTGTTATAAATGACATTGATGATGCTGGCATACCTTCAAACTTTACATATGTTGAAAACTACGTATATGGTGAAGGGGTGCCTTGTAGAATAGATCTAAGTGAGCGGTTGGTTGGGTGCAGGTGTAAAGAAGGATATTGTACTGCAAAAGGTTGCTCATGCTTCACTGAACATACTGGAGCAAGGCTAAATTATGACAGAACAACATTTCAAGTAATGTTAAAACCTGGCAACGTAATTTATGAATGTAACTCCAAGTGTACTTGCCTTTCTAATTGCGTTAATCGGGTTTCTCAACGGAGGTCCGATTTGAGTTTAATGATTAAAAGATTTCCTAAAAAAGGTTGGGGTGTAATCACAAGAAGAAAAATTCCCGAACGTGTGTTTGTAACATATTATTACGGAGAAATAATAAAATCTACAGAAGCTGATAGACGTGGATCTCAATATGATACAAAAGGACTAACTTATCTTTTTGATCTTGATTATAATGCAGAAGATCATGATGAATGTGCTTACACTGTAGATGCTACATATTTTGGAAATTTTTCTCGTTTTTTTAATCATTCATGTGATCCTAACTTGGTCGTATATCCTCTTATTAATGATAACGCCGATATTAGGTTACACCATATTGCTTTCTTTACAAGTAGAGAAATTCAAGTAGGCGAAGAACTAACTTTTAATTATTTTGGTAATTTTTATAACGAAGAGGTGGAGAGCGGGTTAAGCAAAATAAAGGAAAAATATGTTTGCAAATGTGGGTCAACAAAGTGTATCGGTTATTTTCATAAGTAGGGTAACCTTTTAATTTTTTTTTCTTTTTATGAACATAGGTTTATAAATAGTTTTTATCATTAATCATAATAAACATGAGAAATAGATATAATGGCTAAGTAATAATAATAATAATATGTAACAATTAAAAATAAAATCATTTAGAATAAGAGATTTTAGTTTCAAAGCTCTTGCTATTGCGGTATCAATTTTTAATTTGAAAGATCGAAATTTCAAGAAACAATTAGATTAAAAAAGATCATTGAAAAATTTTTAAGATTCCTATAGATTCATGTATGGAATTTTCTATTTGATGTTCATTTTTTTTTTTGTCTATATTTTAATTTCTTCTCTCGTCTTTTTTCTCTAGCTTGATCTTTATTTATTGGTGCGGTTGTTATAAGTTGTTTAATCCGTGTAGGAAAATAATCAAAACTGGTCGGTTTTAATTGAGTTGAAGTAGGTTCTATCTTTACTTGTGGTTGTTGCCCAAAAAAGAAAATTGATGGCGATGATTCTGTGTGTGAAGAGGAAGCAACTTCAACCTTTATTTTTGGTTCATCATCATATGTCATTTCCACTTGTTTTCGTTTATTGGATGATAATGAATGAGTAAAATTTTCTTCCACCTTTTCTTTTTTCACTTGTTCCTCTTTGAGAACTTTTCGTTCATTTAATAAATTTTCTGGAGGTTTAAGTGGATTCAACCAAGGTACATTCACAGGTTTAACTTTCTCCTTAACCATTTTATAAATTTTTGTGAATTCTTGCGCATTTATCTGAATAAAATAAGTTAACAAAAAAATTTTTCAATACCAAAAAATAACTCTTGTAATGAATTATATTATTTGGAATACCTTTACACCGATACACGATACTCTTTTGAAGTTCACCAAATCAGAAATTCTTTTTGAAGCTCCGGAAGGCAATGGAACAAGTAATACATCACCAGCTATATTACATATTGTTGGAAAATGAGAATAAAGTTGTGGTAGAAGATCTGCTTTACATACAAAAACCATCTCTAATAAATGGTAATTCATTAAAGAATTAGATAATTGATAATTAGGATTAGCAGATGTTAAAGAATGAGAATGAGGATTTGTCATTCGTTCCAAATGTTTTGTCACTTCATTAATACCAAAACATATATTAGAAGAACGTATTGATGAGATATTTTCCAATTTATTAGAAGATATATCATCTTTACTGAATTCATCGTCATTACTTTCTACCTTGATAGCTTTATCAAGAGTTTTTATTTTTTTGTTTCTCTTCTTTGAAGGTTTTTTAATTATTGATAAAGTTCTAAGATTAAGAAATATGAAAACAGTTAGTAACTTATTTTTTTTTTTGTGACGTCATTTATCAAGATAATTTAAATAAATTAAATTTACTCGCAAAGAGCGTCTAAGATCTCATTTTGATCTTTAATTGAAACTTCAGGCCTAAAAATATATTAAATTAATTAATATAAAACTAAATTTTATAAAAATCGTTTCTTTCGTTATACGATACTTACCAACCTATATTAAATGGGGAATCAAGGACAGCTTTGAAAACAGTCTTTCGCTTTTGTTCTTGAGTTCTGATAGAGTTACCAGTATGTGTATTCACTTTTGGTGTTTCACTTTTATTTCCTCTCCCTTGACTTTGACTACTTCTATTATTATTATTGTTGCCTAAACCACGGGCTTTGAAACCTTGTGAACGCTTATCTGTAGGTATTATTTGTTGTTTCTGTGACATGTGAATTTATTTATTCTCTTTGAAATAATTGAAAATATGCTGCTACATATTTCTTTGATAATCATAAATTATAATTTGATGTCAAAAATTAACCAATTAATTACTACATCAACTTTTTTTCAGGGGGAAAGAATTACACTGCAGCGGGAGATAAAGTTGGTAACTTTGAAGGCGAAATTGAATTGGAATAGCTTTATTACTTTGTCGAACGAATTTGGCATAAAATTAATATAAAAACTTTCCGTTTTCTCAAAATTTGGAAAAAATATCACGTGAGCAATATATAGAATAATCGACAAATATAGGTTTCTTTTTATTTTTTAATTTCCGTAAAAAAAAAAAAAAAATTAATAATAATAATTATAATAAATTATTTAATGGAAGTTGATAATGGAAATTTTTACATTGGCAAACAACTTAAAAAGGAAATAAATTTACAAGCAAAATAACTCATCCATTACTAGAATGCATATGAACAAACGAATTATTCAAATAGAAAGTGATAATATGCAACTGTAACATTTCCCAATTCCCATTGTCAATGTAACTAGGCAAAAGGCGTATTAAAAACTCTCACGCATTTATTCGGTAAATTTATCAAATGTTCACTCCTTTCGTTTCTTATTTTTTTTTTTTTTTTTTTCCTAACAAGAAACTTTCAAAAATCAGAAAAACCAAAAGTTCTTTTCATTTTTTTTTTTTAACTTCTTATAATTTTTATTTATTTATTTTTAAACATAAGTGATTGAATAGTTTCATATTTTTCTCAGGGACAATAAAAATATTAATTTCCGAATTAAACCATGTTTCAAGTGATCATCAAATAAAAATGCAAAGTAACAAGCCTTTTGCAGATATTGTGTAAAAATATATTTGGAATAGATAAAGTCTTAAGTCTTAAAATCTGCAGCAACTATTTTTTTCTCTACCCAAAATATTAAAAAAAAAATTCCTTTTTTATATGATACTTTGGTAATAATCAGGAAAAAAAAAAAAAAAAAAAAAAAAAAATATT